GCCCCCCCCTGCCGTCCCTCCCTGGGCACCTGCCGGGGGCAGCCCGGGCGTGCTGGGAGGCAGGGGGCAGTGTGAACCGAGTGCTCCAGGTCTCCGTGGCCCCTGGGGCTCCCCAGGGTGCTGCCCTTCCTGGAGGAGCTGCCACAGGGTGGCCATGAGCACCGCTGGCCCCAGCGCCATCCTGCGCTGCCCGGCACCCTCAGCCCTGCCTGCAGGGCCGGCTGGGGACGGGGTGGCTCCAGCACCTCCCCGGAGCAATCTGGTTCCTGCCCCCTGCGGAAGGGACCAGGACCCAGCCCCGAGGCTGTGGTGCGTGGGGACATCAGCTTGCCACCACCCTCAGCCCCGTCCAGCGGGGTCTGGCCGCTCTCCCCTGGGCGGCTTCCCCGGCCCGGTGGCATGCGGAGCAAGGAGCTGGGGAGGTGACGCTGAGCACGGGGAGAGTTCAGGCACTGGGCAGCTTCCAGCAGCCGGATGTCACTGAGAGCTCTGCCATCCCAACACGTCCCCCTGCCCGCACGTCCCCGCAGGTCTGCCAGGCTCGAAGGGCTCACAGCCAGGGGCTTTCCTCTGCGGGAGCTAAAGGAGCTGTCGCAGGACCTGCTCTTGCTGCCCACCACGCCGGTGGTCACCAGCAAGGGGCATTCGGTGTGCAATAAAATGACTTGTATTGCTCAGTGCTGAGGGAGGGGGATGCCAGCCTGGGCAGGCGGAGGGGGAGACGGCGCCCGCCACCGTGGCGGGCCTTGCGCGAGGTGCAGGAGCCCAGCAGCTCCTGCGTGGACACTTGCAGGGGATGTGCTCGGCCCTGCCACGGGCTGCACCCGGGGCGGCAATGGGGTAGAGCACTTGTGTAAGGCTTTCAAGCGAGTCTTTAATCTTGCAGAGCTGAATTATCGGCAGTCAGAGAGGAGGTTGCCATCCCATGGGCTCGCTAATTGAGAGCCTCTCGGGAAAGCCTTGTCCTCGGAAAGTGATGGAAACGTGGTGGGTTTCCTAGCGGCTGGGAGGGAAGTTCTCATTCATTTAATGCTTTGATTTTGGTCTGTCCCGTGTGATACACAGCTGTCGAGCCAACTGTGAGATCAATCAGGCAGAAGGGTTGCAAGGAGCAATAGAAGTGTCTTCCTGTGACAGATCTTTTCTTTCTTAATGTATTGTATTTCCTTCTCTGCTGAGCTCAGGAATATTTAGGCGATTAGATTAGGCGAGTCCAACTTCAAGGATGCTCAAGGAGCAGTCTTGATAGTGGCGACCATGAAAATTTGGAGAGGTTCCTGAGTGACTTGGCCTCCCCCATCCCATTTTGGGGGCAGATACAGGCATTTCAGAATTGTACTTGGAAATCTGGTGGCTTTCAGCACTGAAGGGCACACGTGGCCGCTTGTGAGGATAGGACTTGGGTTGCTGAGTGCTTAAGTACTTGTGCCCTGGGTGTGATGGTGCGGGAGGAAGACGGTCCTCGTAGCGTGGTAGGACGCTCCGCTAGGAGCCTGTTGAGATGGCAGTAAGCAAAGAGCTGTCGCTCTTCCTCTGTTTGCTTTGTTCCCAATGAAAACCCAAGAACGTCGTCTCTGGGAGCGGATCGTGTTGGACTTCTCCGTCGTTGCCCGTCGTCTCCGGCGAGGGGCCCTGCTGCCGCCGGCGGGCCGGGGGCCCCCCGCTCCCCG